TCAAATTCCAAAGCCTTGGCTTGTCACATCGCACTAAATTGGGATAAAGTTAACGTTGTTGAGGCTCGTGGTATTGTCATTTCGAATACCTCACGTACGCCTTGATAGCAGATTTTAAAGTGCTCATCCACTCACCTTAGCTTAATATTCGTGAGGAGAAATGTATAGTTTTAGGGTTTATCATTTATCATTTAACATGACCACAAAAATTTTCCTACACACACAACATTTTGTGGGGCCCGCAGTAAAAAAAAAAAAAAAACTCTGGCACGCAAAACGAATCTCTATAACATAACACAATCACTTTTCCTACAACATAACTCTTATAAAACCCATAATTTTACCAACAAAGCCTCGTAGTTGTAGATATATGGGTACTTAAGTATGCTCATAGAAATTAGATTCTGGCCATATATATATGGAAAAGATTTTACTGGTAGAGATTATACCTATTATGAGAATTAATCTTTGACTGTCCGCTTGGGATACCCTTGGAGCAATCCAAGAAAGAAATGTGAAATTCTGAATGTTTTTAGATTTTTTTATCTTTAATAAGGAAAATATTATATTTACAAATTTTTGTTTACAAACTACATTATGTCTGATCGGGTAATACACTCTTGAGTAGAGTATTACTGTTCAGACATAGTGTATAGTTGGTAAAAAAAAAAGTTTGTCAATATAACCCTACTTCTTTATTAATTACATTAAGAATATTATTTTCTTAAAAACTTAAACAGGAAACTCATAAAATCAATTTAATTTTTTTTCTTAAACTAAATAAACCTTGATCTAATTTAGATTAGAAATGTTCAAAGAAAATAGTCACTTCAATAATTTATTAAAAAAGTATTGTATTTTTTTAATAATAAATTGAAAAATACAAATTATAAAGTTGTATCACTATTAAGTTTATAATTTTTACTATTTTGTTTATATTTTTTTATAAATATCTAATTTTTTTATTTAAAGCTATTAGCAATGTGGATGACTAGACCTATTTTTATTTTTATTTTTTGTAGTTTCTAGACAACCATTTTAAGCCTTTGTTCCCTATACTTATGTATTTATCTTTCTTACTAATTTCTTTTTCTTATTTAGTTATTTGTTCTCTTATTTTTTTTCTCATATTTTTCATTTCATTTATTATTATTTATTTTTCTTTTTTCTCAATCTTTTATTTTTTTATTTTATTTTTTTCATTATGGCCGATCCCAATTAATTCCAGATAAGGGTGTTATTGAGGTTAATGTTGATATAATATTTGTTATTTAATTTATAATTTTGAAAAACACTATAGTGCTTACTCAGAATATCAAAATGCACCTCAAATATTTGATATTAATTGTAAATTAGTGTGGCTAAATTCATGTGTGATGATACGTCTCTAAAAAGTAAAAACGATAGTCTATTTGCTCTTCAACGCTTTAGGTTGTGGGGCTTACATTCTGACTGCAAAACACCTACTACTACTCATGGGGAACAAAAAAACGCAACTACTTGTATAAAGGCAGACTCAGCAGCGCGCTAGCCCCTAATTCTAGAGATATCAATTTGAATTGATTTGGTTGAGTAAAATTACCCCTTCATAGATTGTTTTTAAAGCTGCGAGTGAACTGTTAGGGTGAGCTGTCACTCTTTTCAAATTTATATTAATCTTTAACTGTGAGAATTAATTTAATTTTTTTATATATTCTTTCATATAAATAGATAGAGTGAGGATATTCTAACTGCAAAAAATTCTTACTACTAACTTACTACTCATCACATCACCATTGAATCAAGGAGAGAATGTTAAAAAGTTTTTGAAGAGACAAAAAATATTAATCTAACGGTGATTAGATAGGTAGTAAATTGGTAGTGAAAATTTTTGATGTTGAGAATATTCCTCCTCAAATAGATATAGTTACAATTCGTTCGTGACACACCAAATCTTTAAATCTTGAGGTCTATGGCCCAAAATTGAAGAGTTACAGTTATAATTTACCCAAAATAAAATACTGATTCAAATATGCATTTTTCATTTATAGAAACGGAACCAATCAAGTCCTCCGATATATATAGGGCTTCAACATTAGAGTGAAGGAGTTTGAAATTGGGTTTCCACGCGGAACCCAACTGGAACATCTCTAACTAGCAGCACACATTTGCGCGCCGCCCCCTATTTTCTTTAGCCCATTACCATACGTTTTATCATATATATTTGGTCAATAAGATAACCCACAGATACTTCAGCAATTGCATGAGCATTTGACTCCAGATATGAATTGTCGAGATCAATTTTCACTGTTGGACTGATGGTGTTGGTATTTAGTATCCGGTGGAGAGTGAAATCTCTCTGTTAGCCAATGATGTTCTTTTTACAATGATTTAAAAAAAATTATAGTCAATTGTTCTCCTGTCAATCTCATTTTTATCTTAAATTTAATTATATCTCTCTTTGGTCAAATTAATTCTATATATATGTTAATACGTACGCTAGCTTTATGATTCTACGCTTCTAATTCTTTAATATTATGACATTATTTTATTCACGACGATTAAATATATGTATATTGTCAGTGTTGTTTAATGTTTTTCCTTGCCTTCGTTGAACTCTTAACTAGCAGACAAAGTTTGAACAGTCGTCACACATCTTGTTTAGTTTCCAAGAAAACAATAAGAAAAACCCAAGGTTTATTATCATTTGAGTTAAAACTTAAAAGTCATAAAACACCTCTACCTAATCCCTTTGATTTTGACGTGCCTTAGTTTTTTAGGTTTTTTGCCGTATTTTCACTCCAGTAAGATCAACTCGACGATGCTCTGTGATTTGCCCCTCATGTCACAAGAATAATCAAATAGCTTGCACCCTTTGTCCTATTTAATTAAGTATTTATTTCTTATACGAACAATTTGCTTCTTTTTTTATGTTTAATAAAATTGGTCCGTGCCCGATTAGAACAATATTATACTAATTTCAAGTTTATGTAACTTTCAATACTCAATAGCTACAACTGTTTTCATCTGTCTAAGATTATAAACTAATTAATGACATACTGATCCTTGCTTGGTCCTATATATAAATGAACGCAATCAGATATGAAAAAGATATTCTCATCTGAATTCGAACTAACAAATTTGTAAAGTCATGCTTTACTGCAGAGCAGATATCAGAAACTTCGCCAACTGGAAGATTCATGAACTTTGTTGTCTTTATATAGCGCTAACACGTTGTCATAAGATAGATTAAGAGAAATAGAAGTATCATGTTGTAGGAAAATGGTTATGTCATGCTATAGACACAACTAATGTGGACTTCACCACTTTTTTTTTTTAAAAATGATGAGGTAAAAAAAAAGTGGTGAAGTCCACATTAATTGTGTCTATAGCATGACATAGTCATTTTTCTACAACATGATACTTCTATTTCCCTAAGATTAATGATTCCTTGTGCAAATTTCCTTTCTCCTCGGGCTTGTGTGCGTCTTATTATAGCAAGTTAAAATTGTAATTTATCAAAGGGTTTAAAACTTATGCGTTTATCAAAATAGCTTAATGTTTGGTTGAGATTTTTTACATACTCAAATCGGTTGTCAAAACTAGTCTTTGAACGTCGCGACACACCAAATCTAATGTGTTAAAACATTACATGCAGCATAGATTCATATAAAAGTGAGTAAGTGACTGAGAAGTATTCACCAAAACAAAAATGACGAAGAAGTGTTTTTTTTTCTAATGAATAAAATTGTGTTTGAAGTGAAAATTTACTATACAAGCTATGTTTTTTTTTTATATATAAAAAAAGTGACATAAGTTTTTCCCAAAAAAAATTAAAGTTTTTTTTAATAATTCTAATCAAATTCCAAATTTTTATTAGTAGTTTTACTCGACATCAATTCTTACATTCTCGCGCAAATTGACCAGCACTGGGACAATTAAACGATTCCAATATGTTCAAATACTTTTTTTAAAAAATAAAAAATAAAAAATACTGTGTATCTGTATTGGTCTTGCTATAAAATTAATTTTTTGGACAATGTAATGACTGGTTACTACTTACTAATTAGGAAGTACTTTTGTCAATTACCTTTTACAATATTTAAGAATTTATTTATCACTATACCCAATAGTTGTTAGTTATTTAGTAAACGATTTGCTATGACATAGTAAATTAAACAAAAAATATGATGACTTTTGTGTATGATTAAAACTTCAAATAAAATGTATATATATAAAAAAAAAGCTTCAAATAAAAAATTGAGCAATCGAAACAGTACTTTTTGAAAGCTGTATTGAGACGTTTGACAACAAATTTTAATACTTGATTCATGTTAAGCTTTCAAAATTTAAAACTTGTAGAGTTATAAATGATGGGATCCCTTATGTTTTATATTCTAAAAGTATTTGAGCTGCCAAGATTTAAATTGGCTATGATTGGCGGGCTTATAATCTTGATTTCAAAGAAACAGGACACGGTGACTTGTTTTTTAGGTTGGAGTGCATTGAGTGTCTACTGTCTAGACGTATATGAGTAAAATATATCTGTACTCTGTTTTGTATATCTATCCGTTGCTGATATATATATATATATATATATATATATTGGTTGCTTCTCCCTTCTTAGTTCTTAATTAGCGTTTCCGTATAGTCTTGGGTCCTGGCCATCTTTTCTATCATGTTTATCCCTTTTTTTTTTGGGCGAACTCTATGTATATGTCTGCGTTTTCATAAAGTGAAAAGCAACATATATATTATTTTAAGAAAAAGGAAAATTACGAAGACATCGCTGAAAATTACTGCTTTACTACGGTGCACTTTTGTGCACCATATATATACTAAAGCAGTTTTTATTTACATGAATATACAATGGAACTTTGGTTGTAGATAACTATATAGAAAAACATGTACCTAATTATCTATAATTATTTTCACATACTATACCCAAAATCTAACTTGATAATCAATTATCAATTATAATTAAACGAAGGCTTTGGTCATTTCAGGAATTGGTAAACGAATTAACCAATGAGCAAGCTTGCAATAGGATCGTTATCCGGTAGAAGCATCTTAGAGTTGAGCAAAGTGAACACCGTTAGAGCAAGGGAGATCAGACAAGAAAGAACTAACAGAAGGAGCATCAGGATGTGTGAAATAGTTCCTTTGACTTCTTGTGCATAGTCCGTGGAAGCCAGAGCAAGCACGGTAACTGGAAAGGAGTAAGCCCACCATGCAACATTGAACCTTCTCATTGATCTCTTGAACAGGGTTGGCCTGCAAACCTGCATGTTCGATATTTATAATTAAATATCAATTAGTGCAACAAATTAAGTAAGTATACTAGCTAGTATTAACTTGCAAGGAACTTCCATAATGTGCGGGAGCCTAATTAACAGTAATGTATTTCCCCAAATCCATTCAGCTGTTGAAAATTGAAATTAATCACATATGGTGAATATATGACCTGTTTCGTACGTATGGTGAATTAATATATAACCTGTTTCGCACGTATAAAAAGGCGGCCTACAAATAAATGTTTATTTTTTTGTTTGGTATTTAATTAATAATTTAATTTCTCTACCAACATATCCAGCTGTATGCTTTGTCATTACTTGAAGGGTGCTTGCAGAGATTTGGGGGAGACTGTTGCATGCATGAAAACGACTATAGTTTAAATTATACAATAATAAAATCTTATATGATTTTGTTGAACTGAGAAATAAATTTCCGGAACTATATGTCATTTTCGTAGCTGCACGTAAACAATTCGAAGCATAACATTGCTATACTAATTTTTTAAAAAAAGCGTATATTAGAAAGATAGTTATTAATTAAATTATAATTTTGTATATTTTATCATATAATATTTTTGTTTTGTTTTATTTTAATGAATCTTATGTCATGCTTGTTTCTTTCGTATGCAACTTGACTATAAAAGACCAACGACTTAATGTCAGATAAGACTTTAGTTTAATATACAAATATAAAATTTGAATAAATTAATGCAACATAGAAAAATTACCAGGGACATGAAGAGGAATAGGGATAGAAAGAATAGCATCTTGGAAGCAGTATCGAAAGTCCCAACTATGGATTCCCAAGCCAAGCTAGCAAAGCCTGGTGCTGCAAAGAACAAGAAGAAAACTGGCCTTAACAACACTGGAAGGCGATCTCCACCTGATAAACGCTGATAGAGTGTAACAAATAACACCAAGTAATGCACCATCCCTAGTGAAAACAAACAAACAGCACTCTCTTTCCAACCCATATGAGCCGCAGCTTGTGCCCCAACCAAGTTCCCTATCACCGATAACTGGCTCGTCGGGTTTGCCACCGTCGATAGAAACCTCTTCCCTTTGGTGAACCACTGGCCATAAATTTTCACGTCAAGCACCACCACCGGAACTGCAAAGACCCACCAGAGAACTAAATAGGTTGCGGTTTTTGGAGCCACGAATGGTGCTGATTGAAGCAATAGAAGCCAAGAAATCCATGGAGCAAAGAGGTAGTTAACACCTACATGGTGTAAGAACTCGGCCTTTACCATCTTAAAGTAAAACAAGCACCTTAGCAAGTAAAGAAGAGAGAGTAATACGAGTACAAACAGAGCCAGATACCAAAGTACAAGGAAAGCTGTTGGGGGAAGCATGCAAAGCACGTGTCGCAAAGTGTTTTTGTCCTCTGTTGGTTCAATTAATGTCTTCCATAATAAAGCTTGGCCACCGAGGGAGAGGCTTATTCTGAAATAACCTGCATGTAATTTGGTTAGTATAGAATTTAGGGACATTAACCAACCCTTTGCAACTATCAACGAGGCTGATTCTCCATTATTATTGATTCTATTGTTATGACTTATAATGGTGGAGGATGTTCTGTCTATCACAAGTTCAATTATCTCGGATCGAGAGCCTTGGGCTGCCATTTCGAGATTACCAAACTCATATAAGAAAGACTTTCTAATGTGAGCATTTTTCTTAGTCCACATGCAGGGGTTTTATAGGAGAAGGTAAGACCATAAGCCAGAGGGTGGACACAAGTGGACGTATTAAAAAAATAAAATTGGTCAACTTTTCAAATAGAAAACGTTTTAACCATGAGCGAGAGATGGTCCTTTCCGGTTCCTTTTGAACGTTGTACAGACGCGACGCGACGTATATAGTTTATTGTAATTTTATTTTTCAAAAAATGATTCTCTGCACACCATTTAGGTTGAGTTTGGAGCATAAGAGAATGAAAGGGGATCGAAGAAAAAAGAAAGGAAGGAAAATAAAACATATTTTCATTTTTTTTTTGAGTTAAAAATATGATAAGGGAGAAAAATAAATGGTTAATGAATTTTTTTATAATTTTATTTTTTTAAAAAAATTAATATAATTATTATATTTTACAAATTAAATTAAATTTAAAATTTTTAAAAATTGTTTATATAGTTTTCACATTTAAAAAATGATTCTCCCTCTAAAAATTATTTTCTCTCTCTATTTTTTTTTTTTAATAATAATGGTATATAAGTAATTTTTTATATTTATCCTCTCATATCTCCCAGATCTCGGGAGAACTTTAATTTTAAGGGTGAGAAAGATTTTGAAGATTCCCTAATGTTTTAAACTCAAACAAGAGAAAGACATAATAAGTAAAACCTTCCCTTTCTAATTTGGACTCTCAAACAAAGCCTAAGAGAAGTGATTTTATTTAGTGGAGTTAATATTTATCATATCGATTAAAAGTTGTTATTTAAGAACATTTGTCTTACCAAACACCTTTGACACAAATAGTAATGAGTTCGGGTCCTTAATTAGAGATATCGAGTTTGAATCATGTGAATAGAAAAAATGATTTGGGAGAATATCCTCTTTTAATAGGGTCTGATAAGTGCTCTAACCAAATATAGTTCGAAGGATGAATAGGATGGAAAACTAAAAAAGGAAAAAGAAAAGCACATTTACCTTTATCTTTTATGTTAATTGAGGAATAATTGACTAGGCTGCTAGTTTACCGAGTAGGCTTCTTTGATATCGCAGAATCTCAAATCCTCAATAGGCTGATACATACTAATGTATAAGACCATAATTACGAAGACCTGTGAAGAATCTTTTTTGGACTATATTTGCACAGGCATATTGAACCCCGTTTCATGTATTTTGAATTTTGTGGGACCAGATTGTATCACTTGTATCCTGTTACATAATTAGATTTTAAATCATATTAGTTCAAAAATTTATTGATAATAATATCATAATATGGGTTATTCTAGTTCTATCACTTAGGCTCGGTTGATTTAATTTGCTTTAAAGAGAGAGGTACGTTTATAGGAAAAAATGTGTATCATTTTAAAGGACACAATGTTATATCATTTTAAGTGAAAAAAAATAGATAAATCATAAGAGAAAGAATGAATAATTTTTTTTTAAAGATATGAATCCCATTTTTTTTTTTTAAGTTAAAGAATATAAGGTGTGTCATTTAAAATGACATACCTTTTTTCCAAACTTATACCCTGTTTTTGGGTAACAATTAATGCATGGGGGTTAGAAATATAAGGTAGTTGCTACAGCGCACCATGAGATAATATTACTACATTCTAACTTGGGATTAAAAAAAAAAAAACTACTGAAACTAAAAGTGCTGAGTTTAATTTGGATTATTTTTTAGAGAGGTACAGGAAATTTTTTAAACAATGAACTTATGCTATATTTTCATCTTTTTGTGTATCGCATTAGACGCATAAAAGAATTTTTTAAATTGTAAACTTTTTTTTTTTTTACTTCTCTTGTAATGGGCTATATTGACTCACATTGTATTAACCGGCGGCATTCTACAGTTGTTAATGAAAACATCATTTCTTAAAATACTCAAGGGTTTTTATCTTTTTTGTTTGACAAAAATATTTATCCTTTTAAAGGATATAATTTTGTGTCATTTGAGATTTTAATTATTTATTTTGTCAATCATTGATTAAAATTTACTGGGTCAAATTTATTAATTAATTCGTAATTCGCAATAAAATTCAATAAATCCTAATTATTGATTGACGGAAATCAATGATTAAGATCTAAAAGCATACAAAATTATATCGTTTAAAAGAATAAACGTTTTTCGCTTTTTGTTTTTTGGTACAATGGTGACTTTATATTACCTTGTAGTCACTTTAAGGATTTATCCCTAGTTACTCACTCACCAGCATTCAGCCAGTGGCGGAGCCAGACCAAAAGTTTAGGTGATGCCAAAAAAATTTAACATATTAAATTATCAAGATATTTATCGTAATTATACAAATTAATAAAAAAATTATTATTATGAATTCTACATAGTTATTTCAATTATGTATTAAATAATATCAGATAACATTGAAAATTCAAATGAACAATCGTTAATGATTATGGGTTCGCTTTTTCTGCAGTCATTGTAGATAAGTTATCTGCAGTAAGCCCAATACGAAGTCGTTTTAGGACGGAAATCGTGGTGTTTTTGTAATTTTATTTTATTCTAGGATTATTATAGTCTTTATAATTATAATTTTTTAATTTTTCAATTCCAAAATGATGTTATTTTGAAAATAAATGCAGATATCTTATATGCATTAAGTGCAGAAATATTTTTCTAAATGATTATATATCAAAGCAAACATATAAAAGGACACTAACCTTTTGGGTAAGCATTTCAAACATAAGAACTCCACTTTCCTCCCATAGCATGATAAGTAATGAACCAAGCATTGTCGTAAGGATATGAAAACACACAAATATAATACTTTTCTATAAATTTCACTTTATAATTGAGATACTAACTATAAATTAAAGTATACAGACAACATTTAGAGTCAAAGGGATTCTCCTTCATTATACTTTTCTATTTACAAAATATATTTTTGTTTGATTCTTCCACCTTTTCATTTCGTAAGCCATTGCTATTTCAATCGAAGTCTCGCAGAGCTAGCAAGTTGTGCAACAAGTCAGATGAAAAAAGGAGCAAGAGAGAGAAATCTGATTGCAATTGTAAGTCACAAATTAGGACTTTAAAAGTGATTTTAATTTATGGGGCAAGTAAAAGGATTTGGGTGCCCACGACTGAAGGGAGAGGGATCCTCGGGAAGTCATACAGGGGGAGCCCTCTCACTGAGGAAAGGGGCGATAAAGGCAAGAGCGAGTTTTAAAAACATAGGAAAACAAACTCACTTTCCTCGGGAAGTCATACGAGGAGGAGAGGGAGCGATAGGGTAGCTAACCCTACTTCTTTATATTTATTTAGGTAGTGTCAAATTATAAATTTAATCTTTATTAATTATAATTAATTATATATTTACATATAATATAATTTTTTTTAAAACCAAGCAGATGCCAAGACACCTGCTGGCATAGGAGTGGCTCCGCCACTGCATTCAGCATTCGTTTTATCTTTCCCCCTAATAATCCTAAATGCACCTGGATCCATTTTTTGATTTCGTAGGTTAAATAAATTATTGGCCCAAAGACATTTACAAAATGGACCCAATTGTCAACCCAGGCCTGTGGAAAATTAGGTATTGAAAGCCCAAAAGGATTCTGACCCTTCTCTCATTTCGCAAAGCCAGAAAGAATAGGAGTATAGCCCTAATATAGCACAGTAGAAAAAAGAAAAGGAAAAGCAATTTCATATAAGGGCAAATCAACAGTCAAGATAAAAAATAATTTTGTATTCTGTCAAAAGATTATTGATCTAGGGGTATATTATTCTTACATCGATATAAGAATAAAATATTTTACATTTAATTTGTATACATCTAACAATTTAAGTATTTAATAAATCAGAACCATTTAAAATAAATATAATCAATAGTTTAGATTGTGAGTGTAAGTTATACCTCTATAAAATGATCTTGACATTTAAGGATGATTGAAAAATGACGTAAGAATAAAATTAGTTAACGTCCAATTTTATTAAAGATAAGCGGACCATATTTTATTTTAGTCACTGGACGAAAATAAAACGAAAGAATCTATTAAAGTAAAACAAGAGTTTACTTTGAAGATTATTTGAGACAACTCTGTAGTGTCATTTTGTTAAAAAAAGTGTAATTTAAGGAAATTAATCGTAAGTTTTCATTTTTTTTAACTACATATGTGATTTAACTAAATATTAGAGCTGGTCCTGAGTTCAATTACCATAAATTTTTAGTGTGAAAGGTCTTATATGGATTATTTCATGTCTGATTTTAACATGATTATATATTGTAATAAATCTTAATCATTTATTGATAGATAAATAATTAGTAATTTTTTTTTAAATTTAGGAGATTTATAATTAAATTTATTACTATTATTGAATAAATAAGATCCCAGAAATGGGAAGGAGGGCAAATCTCACAGGAATATAAATACTCACATGTGTATTTTTCATAATACATAATTAAATTTGCAAATATAACATTTTTTAAATAAAATATAATAAAATATCACCATGAAATAATAAATTTTCAGAAGACAAAAATCAGAAAACAAAAAAGTAGTCAGAAATTTTATAGTATTCCAATATAATCCTCTCAAAGAGTGTTGTCGAGTTTCATGATTT